TAATAAATTATTTTTCCCCGAAGGATCAGTTTCAATTGACATGTCAAAACTCCATTGTTGTATTTTTACTCGAAATTCTTCAATGAAATAGAATTATGAGCTTACAATCTTGCAGCCAACTTATTAAATCTCTAATCCAGAAACGAATAACATTAAAAAAAAATTATTATAAATCCAATATCTAATAGAAATTGAATAACAGAGACAACTTTATTTTTCTTCATCTGCTTGAACTTAATTGAAAATCCAGATAACTAGGAAACGGAACTTTTATTCTTGAGGAATGTATTCTAATTCCTTGCTTTTCTTTACTCCTTACTGAATTGCGAGCTCCTTTCATTGCAGGGGGAAGGCACTTGATTTACATTTTAATCGCCCTCTTCAACACCTGAGCCTTTTGTTGCAAAGGCTCACTTAAAAGTCCCCTTTGTACAAAAAGAATCTCGGTGTAAGAACGTACTTTTCTTTCGGAACATTTAAACGCGTGTGAGAAGGTCTTTTATATGTAACAAGGGTGGATGGAACGTCATTCGGTCGTTTGGAGGTGTGGACTGCTAAATACTTCCCCAGAAATGTGTCGAGTATTTACTTTTATCACTTAAGAATTCTTTTTTGGGGGGAGGGGTATAAAGGTTTGTTACAACAATACTATGAACGAAAAAATGAATTTAGCTCAGCACAGAGATAGTATGAACTAAAGGGTATTTAAATATTTGAAACAAAGTCTCGAGATCTTTATACTTTTAATGGGTTTCACCCATGTGACGGCCTGTTTTTCAAGCATTTTTATCGAATTTTTTTTTTTTTTGGCAACCATTTAAAGATAGAACTTTAAGTTTTTTGAAGTTATACTTCTTTTGTGGAGCGTTAGAGAAATAGGATGAGGGTAAATTTTTACAATGCGCGCGCACCGTCACGGATGCGAAAATCCTTTGTCTAGAAATATACAGAACGAGACAAATCTCATTGCCGCCTTCAAAATTCTCAGAAAAATTATTTCTCTTCTCTTCTCTGAAGAAGGGGACACCCGGGTTTGAACCGGTGACCACTCAATCTGCAGTAGAATGCTCTACCACTGAACTATACCCCCGCCTCATCTAACCTTTGCTTTGCATTATGTAGGAACGGATACGAAAATGCTTTGATTAGAAATATGCAGAACGGGACAGATCATTCCCGCCTTCGACCCCCTCCCCATATTATTGGTCCTATTGTCCCTGTGCGGGGGTGTTTAAATTTATTTAAATCGGGATTATCTCAGGTTTGGCTGGTCCGATTGACTGAAGGTTGATCTTCACCTGCCTCGGGACCGCCTTTCGTCTTTGGTCCAGCTTGCCTTGCTAAAGATTTTTAGAAAGAATTTAATCTTGTTACGCCAAAGAAGTATAACTTCTTACGTGTGTACATAAGTACACACACACTTTTTTTTTATCATTTGTTTATATGGATTTTAAGAGTATATATATAAATACGGCGTGCATAAGTACACACACACTTTTTTTTTTATCATTTGTTTATATGGATTTTAAGAGTATATATATAAATCTTTAGCCAAAAATATCCAATAGAACGTAAGTTATTAGTGCACTGAACACAACCACTTCAAAAAGAGGGACGTTCACTTCCTCCACGATTCGGGTTGATTGGCTTATTTGAAATTTTAAGAAAATTAAAGACGTTTTAATTTGTAGTCTTAAATTGCACAGAATGGACTATATTCAATTGAAAATAATAAAAAAATTGGATTTTTGGTAGATCTCTGAAGAAAAAGTTTCGAATTTCATGGGGGTTGTTTTTGTTTTTGTTATAAAAAATTAGAAATATTGGGAATTTTGAAATGATCGTGGTCCATTCCGTGTGTCTATACGTGCTGATTGATTGATTGATTGAATATTAACGTCGCACTGTTCAGCTACACGAGGGCTTTGGGCGACGGACCACGTAATTTTGAACCATGGTCAAGTGACGTGGACGACAACCGAGCTGGCACCCCCCTAACTACCACACCACACCATCGGGAGGACGTTTCAGCTCCGACAGATTTAACGTGCATCGCCCCACACGGCGGGTCTTTAGTGGTACTGGGCTCGAACTCGTGACAAGGCAAGCCACGGTCCGATACCTATACCACTCGGCTACCGCGGCCACTCTATACGTGCTGAGTCTACCCTATAAATTTGAAGTCATTCGATTCAACCGTTCGTGAGATAGGATGGAGGAAAGTTTGAAAAACACAGTTTTGAGAAAAACGCGTTTAAAGTTCCAAGTCTGGTGAAAACTAAGAAAATCTTAACTTATCCTCAATCGGCGATGCCTGGTCCATAGAGTACTCCTTCCTCTTCTTTTTGGAATTGTTTAAAAGCAGGTTGTTCAGCTCTTGCATCGATTCTTTCCTGTTTAACGGCAACAAGATGAGTGTTTAATACCGTTTCTGTACATAAGTATGCGCTTCGCGGCCTACGGGACATTCCATAGTCGTCATTACTTTTAATACTCCTACAAAACCTTCGTTAAAGATAACGGCATATAAGTATGTTGCAGTTTCAACAATTTTGAGGCCAGAGTGTAGATGATTTGGAACAAAAGTCCCAAATCAACGAATTTATAGATTCGTTTTTGTTTTGCGTCTCTGCGAGAAAGATAAATCACTTTTATTAGTCTTACATTTTTTCAGTTTCAGAAATTGCAGCAAATACTGAAAATGCAATACGCGAAATTTGAAGCGATGGAGCGACCTCCATGTTCATGCTGTTTTTTAGTTTTCTGAAAGAAGTTGATGTAAATTCCGTATCATTTTGGGTGGTGAAACAGTTTTCACTAAACTGTTCGCTTTTCATGACGATCAGGATGAACATTTCCAGTCGGTACTTCATTTTCGGCCACTCATTGCGAAATTAAATAATTTGAAGCTGTTGTGCTCTTCGAAGCTAAACCAAGACTAAAACACAAGTTCGACAAAATGTTCAATAACACTATAGATAGGTATTTTTTTAAACATGTACAAACTTTTCTAAACATGTACGAACGATTATTTGTATAGAAGGTTATTATCTCGGGTATCAAACCGACCGTACACAACAGGCCCAACCTTCGTCTGCCAACTCAGCGCTCCGAACAACTGCTACTTCTCTAACCGCTGTATCTTTATAACGACTTCAAATTTTAAAAAATCACTTTGCCACCGAATTCTAGATATGTTAAGAAAGAAATTTATGAAAGAAAAAAAATCCGATTTTTTTTTTTAATCCATCACATGGGTGAACCCCTTAAATAATGAAATTGTTTTTAGCGATGTAATTCAAGTTTTAGTCTTATAAAAAAATGTATTTCCCGAAACAGTTCTACATCCAATGTTTTAATGGCCCACCTGAAGTAAAATGATTACAAATTTATGAATTCATTTACTATACGCAATAAAACAATTATTTATTAATAACTTGTATTTTACGCCAATCGCAATATTATTTTCTGCAACTAAAAGAAAGAATTCGTTTCAGAAGAGAGAACGTAATGAAACGCGATTCTTTGCCAGTTACTTTATAGTTCGCAGCAACAATTTAAAAAAAATAAACCTTTATATTTAATATTAAGACCTAGCAACGGTTCGATACTACTGAATAAAACAGAATATATGAAGAACATTTTATTAAATCTAATATATCGTCTGGAAAATGAATAAGAGGTATATCTCTTTTTTTTCTCCGTCTGTTCCAAAAGTTAACTTAAAAACCAGATAACACTCGGATCCAAAACTCTTTTCTTTTTCGAGCACTGTATTCTAATTTCTTACTTACTGAATTTATTTACTCTTTACGCGCGGTTTCGGGTCTCTTTTACAGCACGAGGAAGACACGCTTATAATTTACGTTTTAATCACTCTCTTCAGCACCTGAACCTTTTGTTGCGGAAGCTCCCTTAAATGCTCTCCTTTCACAAAAAAGAACCCTTTTTACCAAAAGAGCTCCCTTTTCTCTCAGGAGATGTATAAGATGGCCTTTTATGAGCAATTCGAGCAACAAGGGTGGATGCAGGGACATCTCTAGGGCCGGACAAACCGGACCCCTGCCAGGGCCGCAAATTTTAAGGGCGGCCTTTGATCATATTTGAGAAATATATTCTTTGTTACAAAATTTTATGTATTTTCTGAAATATTATAGGGATGAAATTTAGTATTTACATGCGCACTGCTTATTTTTGTACTCTGTATGTTTAATGCCAGCTTTCTTTCCTGTTGAAACTTGAAGGGTTCGAGGCGGGAGTATTTGTTAAATCATGAAATTTGATATTACACATCTTTCACTAGTAACTTTCTCCCCATCCTGGAGTGAGATCACAACGGACATTCCTTTCACCCTTACGATGTCCGGTGTTAACTATCCAAAAGGGGACAGGGGTAATTAAGAGTTTTTGGTAGATAGAGAGCCACAGGAGATGTTTTAATTTAGTTTCGAGTATAGTTACTGTACGCTAAAATAAACGCTTGTGATCCCAACCATCAGTAGACTCTTTTTCGAAGAAACTGGTCAGGTGAAATGGACGATTCCTTCATTTAAATTTCACTCGTTTGAAATAACAACAGGTAATTATGTTCTTAATTTCGAATGATTTTGTATTTCTTAAGTCTTTAAATAATGTATATAATTGTTCAGCAGCCTTTTTGTTCGCAAGAATTATTCAAGTTTTATAGGTGTGTATCTATGTGAACAACTAATCTTTTTTAATTATAATTTTTTGCTTTGGAGAAGGACGGCATTTTCCATTTTTGTCCGAGGCGGCAAAACTGCTAGAGCCGACCCTGGTGGGTGGAACGTCTTTCGGTCGTCTGGAGGTGTGGACTATTTAATGCTTCCCTAGAAATGTGTAATTATTTTTATGAGCCCGTGTCTCTTTTTAGGACGTAAAGCTTTATTGCAACGACGCTGTGCAAATCAATAAAATAAATTGAGCTGCACGCTCAATATAGATCTTGTGAAATATCTAAATAAACTTTAAATGTTTTTTTTAAAGCAACGCGGAATTAATATCGCTGTTTATAGCGATATGATTCAGATTTATAAAAATACCAAATACCTTTCCCATAAACAATGCACACAGTATTTAGAGTTATTAGCACTATTGGAGCCAAATTATATATTACTGGTATTTAAAATCACTATTTATGAACCACAAATAAATTTATCTATATCGTGTGTGTGTGCAGTTTTTTTTTTTTTTTTTTTGAAGTTATACTTCTTTTGGGGCGTTAGAGAAATAGGATGAGGGGTAAATTTTTACAGTGCGCGCGCACCCCGTCACGGATGCGAAAATCCTTTGTCAAGAAATATACAGAACGGGACAAATCATTCCAGCCTTCGAAATTCTCAGAAAAATATTTCTCTTTACTTCCCTGAAGAAGGGGACACCCGGGTTTGAACTGGGGACCTCCCTATCTGCACTCGAATGCTCTACCACTGAGCTATACACCCGAGTCAGCGAACCTTTGCTTTGTGTTCCGTAGGAACAGATACGAAAATTCTTTGTCTAGAAATATGCAGAACGGGACAGATCATTTCCACCTTCAGGCCCCCCTCCCCTTATTATTGGTCCTATTGTTCCTGAGCGGGGGTGTTTAGAATTTATTTAAATCGTGATTATCTCAGGTTTGAAGCAGTCCGATTGACTGAAGGTTAGTATCATTCCAACTGCGCTCCGTGACCACTCCCTTTCGTCCTTGGCTTAGCTTGCTCTTCTAAGATTTTTAGAAAGATTTTAATCTCGTTACGCTAAAGAAGTATAACTTCTTACGTGCGTACATTCCACACACACATTTTTTTTTCTTCTGTCATTTAGAGAAAATCTGTCGTAAGGAAATTGAAGGGTATTTAGCATTGATTATAACGTATGAATTGGAGTTCCATATAACCAGGTGAGTGTCTCCGATGTGTGAACCTCTAACACAACTCATTTATTTTGTTTATAAAAAATTTTTAAAGCAAATGCTCATTTTTTAAACAATCGGCAGGTTCTGTTCCCTCATTTACTTAACATTTGTTACACAAATCTATCAGTTTTCTTACTTATTACAGAAACGTTACTTTTGTCTTTTCAATT